ACAGAGTATCTGAGCCGCAAACAAGTATCAACCCACACACAGAGCGAGCAAATCGAAAACAGATTCAGATTCCGATTTCGATTTCGATGGCTAGATTCGATTGAGCTATGCGCATATATAATCACAAATATTTCTGTATGAATTTACATGTATTCATGGAGCGCGTTATTCACAGATATCGGAACTGTTTGGCGGCATGGAGGTGTGCGGCCTTTCCGTGGTGGTGGGCAAAGACGGGCGCGAGTACATAATCAGTGCCTGCGACAGCACTTTCGCCCTGATTGGCGACAGCCAGGAGGAGGACCGCAGGCAGATAGCCGACCTGGTGTCTGGGCGCATGCAGGTGAGTTTCGGATCGCAGATCAGAGCTCGAGCGGGATATTGACTTGGCTGTGTGACTCTTTCCCAGAACGTGTGCCGGCCCAGCATGGCGCAGACGGGTCCCGGCAAGCTGCCGTCGCGCTCTTCGGTCTCCTCGCGCGCCGAGAGTCCCACTGATGAGCTGGCACCGACTCCGCCTCTGCCCGCTGGACCGCGGCCAGCCCCGATGGGCGGACCACCACCCATACCGGAGCGCACCTCGCCGGCGGTGGGCTCGATTGGGCGCTTGAGCAGCCGTAGCAGCATTTCAGAGCTGCCCGAGGAGCCGTCCTCGTCGGTGCCCAGCTCGGTGGGCGGGGTGCGTCGCGACTCGCAGACGTCGCAGGCGTCGAGCATCTCGACTGCATCCCGGGTCGGACAGCGTCCTCCGCAAACTCAGAGCTCCGTCGTCGAGGATGCGGAGGACACCATGAAGAACCTGAGGAAGACCTTCGCGGGGATATTTGGCGACATGTAGGAAATCGCTAATAAGAAGCGCGGCAGAACGGCGAGCGAGACTAGCAACAGCAGCGGGCTGGGCAGCGTGCCCAGTAGCGCTGGACCCACCAGCAGCGGCGGCAGTGGCTTCAGCGGCTCCTTTCTGGGTAAGCAGTTCTCGTTCGCCTCGGGCGGCAAGTCCGGCGGTTCGGATGTGATCTCCACACAGCCCAGCCGACCGCAGGAGGAGCCAGCAGCAGCAGCAGCTGCTGCAGCAACGGCCGGCTCAGCCGTTAGGCCCGCTGCCAGCGTTTCGGATAGCGACAATACTACGGATATAACAGCAACAACAACTGCAGGGTATAAGCCCGTCACCAACTTTGAGCCACAGGAGCGGGTCAATCCCTTCGACAAGGAGCCACACAAGTCGGTTAGCATCGCCAGCATCGGTGCCGCCTCGAACACAACCTCATCCTCATCATCGATTTCGTCGTCCTCGATCTCGTCGCGCATCAATCGCAATGGCAACAGCATCAAGTCGCCGCCACCACCGGCCGGACCGCCACCACCGCCGCCGAACGTGGCCACCAATGCCAACGTCAACACGAACACGAACAGCTCGAGCGTGAGCGCCAGCGCCTATCGCAGCAGCTTCAGCAGCACCCTGAGCAAAGACAAGACCAGCTACGGCAACTACGACAGCAACAGTTCCATTGAGACCATCACTCGCATGGACACCAACACCACGAATACGGCGGCCATTGACACGGGTGCAGGCGCTGGCGCCGGCGCAAGCGAGGCGAGCGGCATCACGGCGATTACCACCGGAGCCGGGACCGGGGCCACCGCCAATGCCACCATCACCAGTTCGGCGTCCAACAACGATTGGCGCTCGGCCATTGGGCTGCGCTCGGCCAGCGTTTACAGTGCGCCGGCGGCTGTGACCACAGCTGCTCTGCCGGGCGACACCTCCGGCTACGACTCGAACTCGCTGGCCTCGCAGGCCGGCTACAACAATCCCAGCGATCTGCCCTCGTACACGCGGCCCTCTTACTCCCGCTCCGAGAGCAATGGTAATTATCTAGCCGTGGGCGTGCTGCTGGTCAGCCTAACGCTGCGCAAGACCTAGAGTGGCCCTATGTGTAGCATCATTGTATCATTATCCAAGTATCATATCTACATCTCAGCATCAGCATCTGTAACATCAGCGCGACTTACGAATAATCCCACAATAATCTCAGCTACATGCCATACTACACATATTCATATATACATACCTACATTGATGCGAGTATATTTGTTATTGTATTAATGCGAGTTTAGCAGCGACCAAGTTAAGATGTAATCGATAACCAAGCAACCAAGCTACCCCTTAGCCAAGTAGACAGCGATTCTGAACGTTAGCCAAAGCCAATTAGGTGCCACTCACTGTGCATTCTGCAGTGAGCCTCCTCATATGATAGCCAACTTTGAAAGTGTAAGCCAAATATAACGTATACGACGCGTGCGCCGCAAAACTGTTTGTAAGTTCGCCACTCGCCAGTGCTGCTATTCGCTTGCCTGCACGCACGAATCTCCACATCGACACACAGAACTCTACACACGCAGACAGGAACAAGAGCTATCTCTGAAGTACAGTAACTACTCGATAGAGCGCACCGCAAACTCAGTTAATTTCTCGGCTTTCTCGGCACGCACAACGACAACACACACACACAAACACGTACAGAGAGACACACAGACAGACACACACACGCCAGCATAATCAAGTATCTAACTGAAGCTTCAAGTAGAACAAAATTCGATAGATGTGTTTTTCTTGCAACCGTTTCAGTTCTTTTACCTTAAATTTATCTTTGTCTATACGTATACGTGTATGTGTGAGTGTGTATTGCAGCGGAATGCAAGCAAACCTAGACCGACTCCACTCCCCTACCCACACCATATATAGATAAACACCCGTATGTATCCGAAATTCCAACTTGAATTCTACCAATTGGCGAGATCCATTCGAACATCGCATGCACACACACACACACACACACACACACTGTCAAGTTGATTGAGGACTCTTGCAAGACTCTGAAACCGCTCGCTGTCATACTCATACGCTCATTGCGATCGCATTCCAAGCCATCTTTCATCACTCACCTCAATCAGTTAATCCAGTTTGATCCGTGTGTAAGCAATTGGCAGACGTAGTGCTAATCTTAAGCGCTCTAGAATTGGCTCCCAACTGCACCCACGCAAAATTATTGTGCATTGATCTACTCCTGACCGATGGGCACTCACTAATTCGTGTCTGTTTGCATTCACAGCATCGAAGCAATCCGATCTGGACATCATCTTCGGAGATGGCAAGACCTCAACAACCTCCAGCTCGGGCAATGGCAAATACACGCGCTCCGGCGGCTCCATCTCGGATGCGGACATGATATTCGGCGGACCGCCCTCCAACTATAAGACCGATCGCTTCGGCGCCTCCAAGAGCATGAGCATGAGCTCCAGCGGCGTTGGAGCCAGCTCCAACTCCTACAAGATATACGAGGGCATACAGAACGCGGCCTTCAGCGACTTTAGCGATACGGGCAGCGTGAGCAGCGTGAACTCAACTGGCAGACGCTGGAACGCCAAGCCCGAGGAGGAGGACGAGCTGGATTTGAAATGAATCCAGAAACACACACACCCACACTCACTCACTCTCGAATACTTCATGGAGCGAGCATTCATAGCATATCTCATTCACAAACACATTTCAACTATTGAGAATCTGTCTTTTTTCTGCCTCCGAAGTTTCCTGGTTTCATAAGGGAATGAACATGCATCAGCATTAGCATCAGCATCAGCATTAGCATTAGCATTATCTCTACACACATTGAGTTACTATAGTTTCCACTATCGATACAAGAGTTTTATGAATATGCTACGATATCTATATGTACAATCTCCTGTTATTATATATATAAATAATATGTATGCAGTTACTTCTCATTTGCGATATGGTAGAGCGAAACGAGAACTACTCTCAACTACTCACAATGTATAATTATAACCACCAAAGCAACAACAATAATAATGCAAGGATAGACCACATAAATATGCGAAACTTCGACGATGACTTGACTGGTTTTGCCACTGAGATGGATGTTAGGGATAGAGACGATAGACGTCTGTCTGATATATGAGTAAACATTATTGGAAGGCAGTTTGAATAATTAAATAAATATTTTATTCGCAGGCGTATATTAAATGTTTTAACTTGCTATTGAATTTATTCGAATAATACCAAATACAAGAATATTATAATACGAATTGTTATCGAGCGCGATGAATATTAAATTAATAAACTACTAAGAGGCACAGATCGTCAGTTCCGTTGAACTCGAGTGCTTAGATAAAAGACAATATTGAATGAAAATGAAACTTCAACTAATATATACTAAATGTTTACAATGCAAACGATGGTTATTGATGAATACTTATTTCAAAATAACTACAAACAATATATGAATATACATATATATATGTATTATATGAGCAAATGTTACACAAACGCTAATGACACACAAATTAAATGTTTACTATATGCCCACAAATGTTATTGTACAACACATGCATATGCATGTGTATACATACATTTGTATATGTATACATGTGCTAGTAGTTAATGTTTATACACACACACACACAAACATACTCGCATAGCTACTCAAACAACAGCGAGCAAAGCAATGTTAAATTAAGGCAAATACGAAACTGAAACAAAAGTAGAAAAGGGAATGCAATCGGGGGATGGAGAGGTTCGATAGATTCCCTTATCTAAAGGCGAGCACACCCCTGCAATATGTGCTATTCCCGAATGTTGGATGCAACAACGAACACATGACAGCAGACAAGCCAACAGAAGTAGCAGACATATTGCATTGAGGGACTAGGTTAATGCAAAACTTTAGCCGTAAATATTAAATTGATTTTGTTACGCACATGTTTAAGCATTATTTTAACAATAGCTAAATATATATGAATATCTATATAGATTGATTTTGTTGTTACATATCGCGAGAAATAGTTAAACCAACTTTAAGCTTGGGTTGTATATTACGAACTTTTAGAATATGTATTTGAAGAGTGACGACAGTTATCTCAGTTATAGAATCTGTTTTAATCCCAGTCCCCTTTTAACATAAACTTTACAGTTCAGAAATATTTCAATTACAAATATATATATATATAAATATAACTCAAATTTAGTAGTGTTTTACAAAAGTGAAAAGTTTTCGGAATATGTATTACGAATTTAATCAATAATATTTACAAGAGCTCTGTCTTTTTCATTTGAGTCCTGAGCTTGATTTGTTCTCATGGCATAATGCATTTTAATTAAATATTATCATTCAAAATTACCCACATACATATGCACATCATGGGCCACACATACATGCGTAGTCCCGAACATCATCATCATTTCGAATCGAATCCAATATCTACCTATATTATATTCAACTGGCACATATGAAATCATATACAATTGTTTTACAAACATCTATTTACAATGGAAG